GGTTGCTGCTGCTTAAGATGAAAAAAACCACACCTGCACCCCAAGCTAGGGGCAGAAGGAATGATACAGAAACAAGTTCTAAACCTAGACCCACCACAGGGTACCAGAAGGATCTCAGACAAATCCCAGGAGCTTACCCGATACAGTCTTATGTAAAGTGGGGAATCACAATATGTCACCATAAATATACCTGCCAAATATCATGTGGAGACCCCAGCTCTTAGAAATAGCTCAATAAATTGCAACAGTAATCACAAATGGCGGGGGGGGGGGGTGTCATCAGACCTTTGACATCTTGGAAGCCTAGGATGGAGGAAGCAATCTGGGTGGATGGGGGCCAGGCTTCCCACACTGTACAAGGTGGGAATTGCTTCCCCCTCCCAGACAGAGAACATGTTGCAGGCAGTAAGTGAAAAAGGCTGGAGGCACAGGAAGCAGTAGGAACAGAAAGTTGGGCAGGGTGGGTAGCCAGGCAGAGCTGAACAGGAAGCATATGGGAAGGAAGGCCTGGACATAGCTAGGGCGGCTCTGGGGATTGGTTACAGTATCTTAGATATGTGGATGGGGGAAGCCAAGGAAGGATTGTAAGGTCTTAGTCATCCTAGGAGGTCAAAACAAGGAAGAATCTTCAAATATACCTAAACCAAATTTTCAGTGGGACAGATAGGGACACTGAGGCCCAGAGTGGGAGGCCTCCTCTGGGAACAAAGCCAGCCATTGCTCCTCCTCCCACTTCTCCAGACACCAGTGGCTTCTGTTGCCATGGGGATGTCCCTGGCTCAGAGGGTGTCAGTGGCTCCCCTACCCCCTCCCTCCTTCCCTAGCAACAGGCCACCTCCTCTTGCTCTTATCATTGCATGCCTAGCAACCTCAGCCTGGTCCCCTAGGCCATGGAGTTCCAGCCTGACCTTACAGCCACGAATGCCTCTGAGACATCTGGAACTCCCTTACCTTCTGCTGATGAGATCAGTCTAGCCCCTCCTGACTGTCTGCTTTTAAGTTCTATACTTGTCTACATTTTGCAGCATGACTCTATATCATAAAACTACGAGTTACTGTAAGGGAGGCTGTAGCACTGTTGGTTGAGCTGCTATTTGATGTTGAACATAGGGTTACTTCGACTTCCTCCAACTCAGTGAAGTCAGAACCATTTTATAAAAGAGAAACAAAGGTCCAGAGTATTTAAGTGATGGCAAAAGTCAGATAGCTTGGAAGCAGGATATGCTGATAGATTTGTGATCTTTAGCTATGGCCAGTCTTAATCTGGACTTTGGTTTAAGGTGCCTTTATGTCTGACAAATTCTGTTGGATATACAGGAAACCCCAAGCATCTATCTTGGCCCCCTGCCCCAGCTTTAATTACACTCTTGTACTGAATAGTGAAGGGCCCTAAAGCCTGGGCCCCAACATGGGTAATTTGCGGTCTACCTGCCGTGCTGTTCACTCCTTGCTATTCAGTAGCTGAGGCCTACTGGTCTTCTTCCTGCATTTTCCCCTACCACCCAAATCTTCTCCATTCACACATGTGCACATATATGTGCACACTCATGAATGCAGGTGCTTACTGGATGAAGAAAGTTAGGGTTTACAAGAGACAAACCAATTTGCCCAGTCAAATAACTAGAAAGCAACCTAGCCCCAAATGGAGGCCTTAGCCTGGATCCAAAGTTTCTCCCCGTTTTCTGTGCCACAGAGCCTACTTTCCTTAGCTTCTCAGCACTCAGGGGTGGACAATCTGCAGCTTGGAGGCCACCCACACCCCAAGATAGCTATAAATGAGGCCACCACAAAATTATGAACTTATTGAAAACATTATGAGATTGGTTGTGTGTGTGCATGCATATGTGCACCTGTGCAGATGTGTGTGTGTGTGTGTGTGTTTGTAGTCCAAAGGCTGAAAATAGGTGTCTTCTTCAATTGTTGTCTATTTTAAGACAAGCTCTCTCACTGATTTGTCAGGATGACTGGCCAGTGAGTTCCAGAAATCTGTCTCCCTAGCACTGTGATCCCCAGATCATGCCATCATGCTTAGCTTTTTATATGGCTTCTGGGCATCACCCAGAGGTCCTCACACCTACCTAGCATGCACTTTACCAAATGAGCCTTCTCCCCAGCTGAGATTCTTTTTCATTGTTTTGTAAATATCAGTTTACATGGTTCCCCTGTATGAACTTTGTAGATGACATTATGTCATAAAGTCAAAAGGCTGGACATGCCTGAAGAGATGTGTCACATATCCTTGTCCCAATCATGGTTCTTACCTTTAGAAGTGCTTTCCTGCTCATGTCTGTTTTAGCCCAACTGACTGGTCCCTGGCTTTAAACACATCCCTTGCTTTCCTAGTCCTGATTCTACATCCATGGACTCTCCTTATGTAAAGTCAGTCCTGTGTAGCCCTGCATGTTTAGGTATAGTCTACCCCAAGAAGCACTCCCTAACTGTAGTGAACCCGAGGATGTATGCATGGGGCCTACAAGTATCCTCAGAGAGCCCCATCCAACTGTGGTTCCAAATTAAAGGGTCTGCCCACTATTTTGCAAGATCTTGCTTTATATGTGCTACTGCTATAGGCCCTTCTCATAGCCCAAGTTTGATCTGCCTGCTGAATCCTCAAAGCTGTTAGAGCTTCCTTGAATATGAGCCTAGTATACACACCAGGAAGCAAAGCTGAGTAAAATCAACACTAGCCTCAGAACCAGAGCAGTCAGAGTATGCCTCAGAAGAATGCCGCCCCACCCCATTGATCTTCTTTCCCTGGATAAGGCACTGACCCTCTTGGGATCTCCTTTTCCTCATTTGCTTTTGTTTTGTTTTTGAGACAAGAGTCTCGCTATGTGGCCCTGGCTGTCCTGGAAATTGCTCTGTAGACCAGGCTGTTCTCAAACTCACAGAGATCCACCTGCCTCTGCCTCCCAAGTGCTGGGATAAAAGGCATTTGCCTCCACACTAGGCTCCTTTTCTTCAATTACAGATCAGACATCATAATCCATGCCTAATGCAGCTGCTGTGAGCATTAAATAAAATTAGATTTACAGTTCTTAGTATATGAAGAATCAATGATAGTTATTATGATTACTAATATTTGGATGGTCATTATCTGCAAAGCTGTTAAGAAGTCCTATAGCGACAGCAAAGGCAGGAATCTGGGCTTGGTGCTAGGCTGACTGGAGTTTGAATCCTGGCTTGTTTCCGCAACTATAAAACATAGATGATAAGGCCAGCGCAGGTTCCATCCACGGTGTCACTGGGTGGATCAAATAAAGCAAATCCTTGACAAGTTCTGCTAAGTTATAAAGGCCCGACATATGTCATCACATGACTCATGATTATGGTCATTTTTAAATCGCATGAACTAAAAGTTCCAGGAGCTTCCCAGCTAGGAGGAACTGACAACTAGAGATGAGTTCAGTCTGGTTCCTCAACAAGTTAGCAGGTACATTAACAGAGATGCTTATGGGAGGCTGGGGCTTGAGGTCATCCCAGGTTGTCTTTCTCCAAATCTACAGTAAGGACATTGAGATCTGTGTCCTTTCTTAGACAAGTGCCATCCTAAGTGCTAGAACAAGCTGTGTCTGGCCATGCTCCTTGGCTGCACGCAAGGATTAATTATGTGCCATCACAGACCTCTTGCCCAGACATCAGGGCTGACTATATCCACCACATTCTCACTGATTTAATGCTGGCCTCAGCATGTGTCCATCCTCCTCCTTGGACCTGGGTACCAATTTGCTCACCCCAGACCTCCTGCAAGGTCTAGGATAAATTCTGTCTGTACACAGACAACTTCTGACCCTGGCCCATGTCCAGTAGTGTGCATGGCATGATAGGAACTGTGCTGTTACATATGGTTGGGGAAGCTGTGCTCCACCCAAGGGTTTACAGCTGAGAGGTAGTGAATAGGGGCTAACATCCTATTTATGCTGTGTTTACCAACCTGGGAAGCCTGGTGAGCAAGGTTCACAAGAAAGGGAACATTTTTCCAATTGATCCATTCAGAAGGAAGAATAGCTCCTTAAGTGATCTGTTTTCTACCCATCACAAAGATGTCATATTTACTAGTGCAAGCCTAAAGAGCATAGACTGTCCCCATTACATGTCTCTACTGCCTTGGCCCATCTTATCTCAAAAGTCATAGTTCCCAATCCAGATGCTAAGACTAGACCATACCCTAAACTGCCTCACCATCCCTACATTATCCCTATTTCTGACACTTCTGCCTTCCTGAGGTTTCTGACAGATGAGGGCCAGAGGCCTGCACAAAGGGCCCTGGTCTTACTCCAGCTTCAGTTCTGTTTCCTCAAGTGCCAACAGATCATCTTTAAACCTTACCAAAGCTTAGAAACTTTTAACCAAGCATGCAAAACTGCTTCCTTGTCACCATTATCTTCCCTCTCCCCTCCCTCCCTCCTTCCCTCCCTCCCTCCCTCCCTTCCTTCCTTCCTTCCTTCCTTCTGGGTTTTTCGAGACAGGGTTTCTCTGTGTAGCCCTGGCCATCCTAGAACTCACTCTGTAGATGAGGCTGGCCTCGAACTCACAGATCCAACTGCCTCTGCCTCCCAAGTGCTGGGACTAAAGGCATGCACCACCACCACCCAGTGTACCATATATGTTTTAATATCTAGAATGTATCACATCTAAAGACAAAGGGAAACTAAGATGGGGCAAGTCTAGTGTCCATTGTTCCCTTCCCTCCTGGAAGAAGAAAATAGAAAAATTCTTGGGTCTGGAGTTGATGTGTTATGAGCCCCTGAGGTGTGCAGCAAAGCTCTCAAGTCCCCTAGGATGGCAAGGACTGAATGACAGTCTTTAACACCATCATCTCTAAGCCTGCCATATTCTCCCTGTCCTCCCTTCCATTCCATACCCACTTCTAATACCAATGGGGTAATGAACCCTGCCATTGACCCCTACCCACAGATCCCAAAGTAACAACCAGAAAACACCTCCTCCCCAGGCCTAGCCCCATCCCCCAAGTACTACTAAAGAAACGAGGTACTGACCTGACTGTTCTGGAATTCTCACCATCAGACCTGAAAGAGAAACAGGGAAAAAAAAAAAAACAAGAGTCAATATAGGCTCACTACTCTTTCCCCTTCCCCCACATTGAGGTCCAATGTATGTTATGAAAACACACATGTTTCACTCATGCATGGAGGACAACAAGTGCAAAGACCATGATGATGAGTGCTTAGTCAGTTGGAGCAACAGGGAGGAGGACTGGTCGGCTAGTTAAGCAAGCAAAGGGCCATTGAAGGTGTGTTGGAGTCAGAGAACTAGCTGTGATCACAATGAGTGCGGCTTTCCTTGGAGGGTGGCTTCAGAAACAGCCGGAGACATCCAGGTTCAGATATTGTCTCTACTACTTACCATCCCTGTGACTTAGGCAAGCTACTTCATTTCTCTAAGTCTGAGCCTCAGTTTCCTCATTTGTAATACAAGGTTGATCCTCACAGAGTTGTTGGCATGATTAAGCTCTTTGGAACCAAGCAGACAAATGCCAGACATTATTAACAAGATAGAAGAGGCTTTGCCAACTGCCTAGTCCGCGCTGCTTATTTTCCAGATGAACAGACTCAAGCTAAGAGGGTAAATGAATCAGCTGCTAGGCTCCTTTCTACTGTACCGACTGTCTTCTTCTTTATGCATGGCCCCAGATACAAAAGAGGGGTGAAAGAGAATGGAGTGAGGGCCAGCTCTGAGGAAAGCCAGGAAATGAACAAAACCAGGCCCACTCCCCTCTCACTTCTCCTCCCTGAGAAGAGTGTGTGCTGTACAGGCACACATGCCTGGACAAGTGATTAGTCACATGGATAGTATGTGTGCATGTGTGTATGTACATGCACTTGTGTAATGGAGGTTAGGACAGAGAAGCTGCTGTATTGGGAGCAAAAGAAAGAAAGGAAAACTGGGGACCCCGGAAGTACAAGAATTTGGAAAGTCGTCTTCTTCCCTCGTCACCCCACACCTCAGGTCCTCTCCCAGCCTGAGCTGTAAAAGGCACAGAGATGAATATATGAGGCTCTGTCTTCAGCTGAGAGAGCCAAGATATATTCTTAGGTTTCTTGTGGATTTTATCCATATCTATGTTGAGAGGATGATTTTAAAAGAGCATTTTTTTTCAGAGAATGAGTGTACACACACACACACACACACACCATCAAGGTAGAGCAGGCAAGCATCAGGGTGCTAAAGTACGGCCTTTACTAGGGTGCTAAGTGAGTCTGCCTGCTTGAGTGACTGCTTGCTAGCCACATTTATCCTAAAGAAATCACCTTGCTATCTAAGAACCTCAGATTTTTCATTCAGTAAATGGGGAAGTATGGGGTAGTGGCAAGAATTCCTCCCTTCATGGAATGGCTTTGAGGCTTAAAGTGCCTGACACCAAGTGCATGTTCAGCTGATAACAGTGGTACCAACCTGTTGTCTTTTTTGTCCCCTTAAAGGAACAGAGAATCAAGGCCACAGCGGACTTTACTGCAGTTATTAAAACTCTTCATTGCACTCTATAGCAACAAGACAGCTTCCAATTTCCAGCTCAGTTATTCTCAAATATCAAATGTTTAGCCAAATTTCAATGACTCCCCAGCTGCCTACAGAATAGAAGCCAAAACCCTCAGCATCTCTAATGCTAATCACCTGCTCCAAGGAGTCTGGTTTCCGTACAAGCACCCATCTCGGAACCCAGCACACATTTATTCAGTTGACTATACCCTCGGCTCTAACCTGGGAAAGAGAACTGCTCAAGGAGTTCAACTGCATCATCATCATCATGATGAACAATCAATGAGCATCTACTGTGTACCATTCAGAGTATTTCTGCTTCCAAAGAATTTCTGTGATGTGTTACACTACTCAAAATGGCAGTGGGGTTGTCGGGGGCGGGGGTGATGTCCGAGTCCTGATGCAGAGTGTATTGGCTAAGTCTTCTCACACTGGACTGATTCTTCCTTGTTTGGGAGGATATAGCACCCTATGATCCAAAGGGAGGGTGCATCCCACCTCAAGGGTCTGTCACTAAGCACTCAGTATGTTGTATATGGATAACAATTGTGCTGGTCAGTTTTTGTCAATTTGACAGAAACCTAGACATATTTGGGAAGAGAGAATCTTAATTGAGGAAATGCCTTCACTAAATTGGCCTGTAGGCCAAGTCTATGGGACATTTTCTTGATTAAGAAATGGTGTGTGAAGGGACAGCCTATTAGGGGTAGTACCACTCCTGGGCAGGTGGTCCTGGGATGTATAGGAAAGCAGGCTGAGCAAGCTAGAAAAGAATGTTCTTCTATGGCCTCTGTGTCACTTCGTGCCTTGAGTTTCTGCCCTGACTTCCTTTAGTGATCCAAAGATCCAAAGTGAGGGTGCATGTAGAAGCATAAATTGAAGTAAAGCTTTTTCTCCCCAAAAGATTTTATCACATCAATAGAAAACCCAAGATAACAAACATCAATATAGAGTGATCTGGCACCTTTTTGAGGAACAGTGCCTTGAACAACGAACAGTCAATCTGCCTCCTACTTCATGAAGCTAGGCCACCATTCTTCTGGGAGGGAGTAGAAAGTGGTAGGAAGTTAGGATGCATTATGACTTGGTCTGCAGCAGGCAGTGTTAACTCTGGCAAGTCACCTCTCTAAACCTTTGTTCCTTGTCTGTAAAATGATGGAGCTGTATTAGTTGAGTTCTAAGCACTCTTTAGGCTTTAAAACATTCACTTTCTGCCAGGCAATGGTGGCACACATCTTTAATCCCAGCACTTGGGAGGCAGAGGTAGGTGACTGAGTTCAAGGCCAGCGTGGTCTACAGAGAAGGTTCCAGAACAGTCAAAGCTATGGAGATAAACCCTGTCTCAAAACAAACAAAAAATTACTTTCTTCAAAACCCCAATGTTTATTTCTCTTATCAACTAGACTCAACTGTCCACATGTGGAACCAAAGACCCAGAGACCACACCCTACCTTTTTTATTCTTGTCTGTAGAAGAACATGTCCATCTATCTACCTATCTATCCATCTATCTATCCATCTATCTATCCATCCATCCATCCATCTAGCCTATCTATCTATCTATCTATCTATCTATCTATCTATCTATCTATCTATCTGTCTGTCTGTCTGTCTGTCTGTCTATCTACACATGAATATTAGCCCATGTATCATGCCCTCTTTGTGCTCCCCCAGCTCCTTAGGCTACCCTTGGGCTTAATGAGTAGACTTGGATAATAAGACAATAAAATTCCTAAATGCTTGAGAAATCTGGACAGGGAATTTGGGACCCCAGATACCCAGAGTATAGTCTAGAAGGGATGGGGTTCTAATGAACATAGCTCCACAGATACTTGCTTTGTGGGGAGGGGTCTTTGAAGTTTGGAGTCTAGACCTGTGTTTCTTAGGGTAGTCCATGATATTGTGATTTGTAGTAAATTGAGACCCAAGAACCTCCTCTTTTTGCTTCCTTAGCTAGGTCCTGCTTTGTAATTCAGGGATGTGAATCCCTACAGGATCTGTGGCCAGTGCACCTTTCACTGCAAACCCTGCTAAGCAAATGCACTGATTCTCAGGCTATCCATTGGGGTATTTCATTCTTTGGTCTTTCTGTATACTGATCTTCAGTTCTAAATAGCTTTTAAAAAACTGTGTACTAAATGTATTCTTCCACTAGAAAATCCATGAAAACCTTGGGAAAGAGAGGAGAGAAATGTGCATAATTACAACACGGAGGCAGTAACAATTCTGAACAGTTGCTCTATTTCTCTCATTCTCTGCATTTCTCCATGTAGTTAAAATGATTTTGCATTGCATTGTTTTCATTTACATGTTTCCCCACATAACTGCCTAGTCTTCATTACTATTATTCTGATTTGCCATGATATAGTCAATCATCCCCTGAATGTACAGAATGGAAGCAGATAAATTTGTCCATTGATTTAAATTGTGCTTAGGTGGACTTTCTTGACCACAGCTTTAAAGCAACACATGGCTTTTAAGAAACAAACCTTATATCAGCCCAATTGCACACAGCTTATTTCTCTTTCTAGATGATTATTCCCTCTAGCTATGTCTAAATTCATTCATTCATCCCAGTGACACATATTCACTCTGTACTTCTATGAACCAGATCCCAAGCTAGGGCTATGGGAGGAAATGAGGCATAGCTCCAGAACACTAGAAGATGTGTCTCAGTCATGCTTGAAATAGGCAATTTCAGAGCATTAATGGCTGAGAGCGAAGAAGAGGATATCATAAGAGAACAGAGAAGGGTCCCTTAACCCACCCTACAGACATGAACATAAACTCTTTAGATAATATGGTGCCTACACCAGTCATGGAAGATGAATAGCAGTTGCCTAGGATAAAAAAAAAAGGAATGTTCATCTAAACACAATGAGTTAATTAAACTGATTTGTCTCCGTTCCCAAATACTACCAAAATGTGAGTAAATAACAAGAGACAGAAAGAGAAAGTCTAGGTTGCTGACCAGAAGTAAACTATTCTGCTTACAGAACCCCTTCAGTGCTCGGGATTTGGAGGTACTGTACACCTCAGAAGGTGGAGTGAGGTATAAAGCTAAAAATAGTGACTTGCAAAGCTGTCCTCAATGCTGTCCAGTCAGATTCTCTCCACCTCCAGCACCAGGCCAGCAACCGGAGGCTTTGGATTTGAGAACACCAGGTGCAGTAGCAGATGGGATGAAACAGAGCTAAAAGCAAAGGAATCTTCCTTGGGAAATGCTAGTACCCTAACTTCCTGCTAATCTTCTCCTTCCAACAGCAAAGTCGGGTGCACCTGTGTAGTGTCATGGGTGCTACTTTCAAAGCAGCAGCATCCAAAGACACTTAAGTTAGGGTTTCAGTTTTTAAGACTTATTTGTTTTTATTTTATATGTATGAATGTTTTATCTGCATGCATATAAGAGCACTGTGTGTGCACTTGGTGCTGGCAGAGGCTAGAAAAGGAGGCTAAATCCCCTGGAACTGTAATTATAGATTGTTATACATTGCCATGTGGGTGCTAGGAATTGAACCTAAGTCCTCTGC